TGATGATGCTGATGCAGATGCAGATGCTGATGCTGCTGTCGCTAATGAGGATGATTGTTATTATGCTGGTGCTGATGATGATGCAGCTGATTATTGCTGATGCTGATGCTGCCGATGATGATACTGATGATGATGATGATGTTAATGGTGCTGATGATGCTGATGATGCTGCTGCTGCTGATGATGCTGATACTGATGATGATGCTGATGATGATTATGATGACGACGCTGATGATGCTGATGATGCTGATGATGATGATGCTGCTGCTGTCGATGATGATGATGATGGTGGTGGTGATGATGCTGATGATGATACTGATGGTGATGATGATGATGCTGATGCTGATGCTGGTGATGATGATGATGATGATGATGATGATGATTCTGATTCTGATGATGAGGATGACGACGACGACGATGATGATGATGATGACGATCATGATGCTGATCATGATGATGATGATGATGATGATGATGATGATGACGATGATGATGATGATGGTGGTGGTGGTGGTGCTGATGCTGATGATGATGATGATGATGATGCTGATGCTGATGCTACTGCTGCTGCTGATGCTGCTAATGATGATGATGATGATGCTGCTGCTGATGATGATGATGATGGTGATGATATGATGATGATGATGATGATGATGATGATGATGATGATGATGATGATGATGATGATGATGATGTTGATGATGATGATGATGATGATGATGATGATGATGATGATGATGATGATGATGATGATGATGATGATGATGATGATGATGATGATGATGATGATAAGGAGGAGGAGGAGGAGGAAGAGGAGGAGGAGGAGGAGGAGGAGGATGCTGAGGATGAGGATGAGGATGAGGATGAGGCGGATGAGGAGGAGGAGGAGGAGGATGAGGAGGAGGAGGAGGAGGATGAGGAACAGCATGAGCAGGAGCAGGAGCAGGAGCAGGAGCAGGAGCAGGAACAGGAGCAGGAGGAGGAGGAGGAGGAGGAGGAGGAGGAGGAGGGAAAGGGAAAACAGAAGAGCCAGAAACCCCTTGAATGCCTCTCGGAGACTCCTTGGATGTCGCTTGGAAGTTTTTTTTAAACCAGAAGCCTCTTGAACGTCTTTCGGAGTTCCCTCTGATATCGCTTAAGAGTTTGATGCCTGTTGGGGCGTCTGGGGGTGCATCTAGGCGGGCCCTCGGCCATCTTTGAGCGTCTTGGGTGCCTCGGGGATCCTCTTGAGACCTCTTAGGGGTCTCTTTGGAGCCTCCTGGAGGCCCTTTTGGCGCCTCTTGGAGCCGCTTGGCGCCTCTTGGGGCCCTCTCGGGGCTCTCTTGGAAGCTTTAAGGGCGCTCTTGAAGCCACTTTGGAAGACATCGATACAAACAGAGGGGAGCTTTGATTAGCCTCGGCCTTCTAGAGTGCCTGAAATCGCCTCTTCGGCCCATCTGGGGCCCTCTTGGCCCATCTTGGAGCCATCTTGAGGCCTCGGATGGCCATCGGAAGCGAAAATGCGAGAAAGCCAAACACATTGTTTGTCGTTAGGTGTTGGAAGTATTTTGGTTTCTTGGGGGCCTTCTTGGGGAGCTCTTTGGGCACTTGGAGCCGTCTAGAAGTGGTCTTGCGGCCTTTGGGAGCCTCTTGGAAGCCATATTGAGCGATCTTGCTCTATTTGGAGCCATCTTGGAGGCCAGCTTGCACTCTCCGAGGCCCTCTTGGAGCCATCTTGGGCCACCTTGGACGCTCCAACTAGAGACGGACGACGGGATGGACGGACGGATGGGGCGGGCGGAGGGGAGGGGCGGGCGGGCGGGCGACGGCGACGGGCCGCGGAGGACGCACAACGGTGACGACGACGGCCTCGACCAATGTCGACGACGAGTCTCGCCATAGCCAGCTAGGTTGGGAGTTTACGCCGTGTGGCCAAGTGAGGATTTCTGAGCCGACTGGCGAGACCGAAATGCGTAGAGCGTGCCTCCGCGCTCGTCCGTAGGCTGGCGGGTGTTACGGCGACGTGCTGTTTAGCGCGGGCGTCTCCTGCTGGGGATTGGCGCTCCCGCCAAGTACCGCCAAGCCGCCGCTAATTCAGCGGAGTGTGGGAGGAGCTATTGACGCAGGGAAAAAGTGAATCGGGTATCAGGCAGTGGTGCCGTCTTGGGGGGTGGGCGGGTTGCTGTGCCAGATGTCCGTCCGTGGACATTTTGGCTCAATACGTTGCTGTTCAGCAGCGGCTTGTGCTGGCAACTTGCCCGCCCACCCAGCTCCCCTGCTCTCTTCCTCGAATCATTTTGACTGTCTTCTAGGCGGGTGCTACGGCGACGTGCTGTTCAGCGTGGGCGTCTCCTGCCGGGGATTGGCATTCCCGCCAGGCATCCCCAATGCCGCCACGAAGTCAGCGGAGGACGGGAGGAGCTATATTGACGCAAGGAAAACTTGGAAGGGGGAGTTCTTTCGGGGCCCACTGGGAGACGTCCGAGGGCCTCTCTTTGGTCTCCTGGGGGCTTCGCGGCCCTGTTTGGGGCTGTCTTGGGGGCCCGTCGGCGGTTGCGGGGGCCCCCTTGGGCCGCAGGGCTCGGGAGGCCAGCTCGAGTTCCCCCCTCCTTTGAGGCCCTCTGGTGCGCGTTCTTGGGGCCCTCAACTGCCGTCTTGGGCGCCCCTAGGGCCGTCTTGGGCCCCTCGTGGGCAGTCTTGGGGCCACCAGGGGAGTACTGCTGGCCGTCTTGGGCCGGTCTTGGGGGCCTCTGGAGCCTTCGTGAAGGCTGTACAGTCGGGGCCCTGAAAAAGGAACCCTTGCCATCTTGAGACGTGCTGCGGCCATCCGAGGGCGACGTGGAGGCCCTCCTGGGCCGCCTGGGAGCGGCTGGGGGCCATCGTGGAGGCCGTCCAGGACCGTCTTCTGGAGCATGGGGCGGCCGCCCCATTTTTTTTTTCAGGAGTGGAAACAACACGCAGGCACAGTTCATCGCCGATCCCCCAGAACCTGCGGGACAAGATGGGAAGCGGGGGGGAGAGACAGAAACCCAGAACCTCTGGGGAAAGGTGGGGGGAATCCTGCTATTCGTGTGCATTCATCTGTGTGTCCCAGGGCCCCTTCAGTTCTCTCCCCCCTGCCCCTCCGGGCACAGCGCTGGCGAGCGGGCGGCCCTCTGCGACCACCTGCGAGCCCCACCCCCGCAGGGCCCCGCCGCCCCAGCGCCACCCTGGGCCCTGGACGCTGGGCCCCGGTCTCGCCGGCGGAGGGCTCGGAGCCTCCCCGGGGGCGGCGCAGCGAGAGCCTCGCCAGGGGAACAGGAAGTGGCATGAACACAAAAACTCGGAGGTCCGCGCGGATTTCTCGGATCGGCGCTGGGGCCCCCCGGCGGCGCCTCCGGCGCCGCCCCTGGCGCGCGGAGCGCGCCAGGGAGGGGGGTCCAGCGCCGATCCGAGAAATCCGCGCGGACCTCCGAGTTTTTATGTTCATGCCACTTTTTGTTCCCCTAATCGCATCGCCGGAGGTCTGGGTCTTCGGGTGCGCTTTGCATGGGTTCGGAGCTTGCCAGCCTCGGGGCGCCTTCCAGCAGTCGTGCGTCGCCGAGCGCGCGTCAGGGGGTGCCCGCATCGTCCCGAGCGGTCGCCGGAGGCCTGAGGCAAGACGCGAGCGCCGAACCACGACGACCACCACGATGACGACGACGGCGTCATCGTCGTCGAGGATCGACCTCGTGGTCTTCGTCGTCGTCGTCTCGGACGTTTTCGGGCGCCTCTGGGCTCGCCGCCGCGGATGGACGCGGCGCAGCAAGCTGGCTGGGATCGTCGTGTTCTTCGTCCTTGTGGTCTTCGTCGTCTGGGATCGACCTCGTGGTCTTCGTCGTCGTCGTCGTCGTCGTCGTCGTCGTCGTCGTCGTCGTCGTCGTGGAGGATAGGCATCGTCGTCTTTGGTCGCTGTAGAGGTTTTTCAAAGTTTAGTGGGGTTATCTTTGCCGCGGCTGGGCGAGGTGCGGCAAAGCAAGCTGGCGGGGATCGTTTGTGGGCCAGGCAGCGGGTCCCGGGGTCAGTCGCGGGCGGGTTTTGGTCGGGGGCAGGGATCCTGAGGGACACGGGTCGTGCCCCAGGGTCCCCTTCTGAGCACGTTCGGCGTCTGTTCCCCTTGGCCGCTGAGTGGGCGGCCGAACAGTCTCGTGTTTATCGTTATGAGCTACGTGTGGGAAACGGGTCCTGATGTTTTTCGCAGTCTTGGGTGGGCCTTTGGGGGGCCTCTCCTGGGCCTGGGGACTTCTCAAAGACAAGTTCACGAAAACAGGTGGTCTTTGGGGAAGGCCCCCGGGGCCGCTGGGGCTCACGTGGCTGCAGACGTTCGTCAAATTCTGAGCCCCCCCTCCTCCTCCTCCTCCTCCTCCTCCTCCTTCTCCTCCTCCTCCTCCTCCTCCTCCTCCTCCTGCACCTCCTCCTCCTGCACCTCCTCCTCCTCCTCCTCCTCCTCCTCCTCCACCTCCTCCTCCTCCTCCTCCTCCTCCTCCTCTCCTCCTCCTCCTCCTCCTCTCCTCCTCCTCCTCCTCCTCCTCCTCCTCCCCCTCCTCCACCTCCTCCTCCTCCTCCTCCTCCTCCTATTCCTCCCCCTCCTCCTGCACCTCCTCCTCCTCCCCCTCCTCCTCCTCCTCCACCTCCTCCTCCTCCTCCTGCACCCCCTCCTCCTCCTCTCCTCCTCCTCCCCTCCACCTCCTCCTCCTCCTATTCCTCCCCCTCCCTGCACCTCCTCCCCCCCTCCTCCTCCTCCTCCTCCTCCTCCACTCCTCCTCCTCCTCCTCCTGCACCCCCTCCTCCTCCTTCTCCTCCTCCTCCTCCTCCTCCTCCTCCTCCTCCTCTTCCTCCTCCTCCTCCTCCTCCTCCTCCTCCTCCTCCTCCTCCTCCTCCTCCTCCCCCTCCCCCTCCCCTGCACCTCCTGCTCCTCCTCCTCCTCCTCCTCCTCCTCCTCCTCCTCCTCCTGACTGGCGTTCGTTCATCACTGCTTTTCTCCGCCCCCGCGGCGCTGCCAGGTGCACGCCTTCCGGCCAGGGAGGTGTGGGCCGCCTCTGGGCGCCATCCACCACCACCTGTCGGCCACGCGGGAGGTCACGCCTCCGTTCTGGACGTTTCCCGCAGGAGCGGCCGTTTTTTTTTTGCTTTTCATAGAGATTTCCCGTTTGCTGCCTCGGCACACGTAGCGATCAAGGAATGCCCCAGACGTTCGCTCGTCGTGAACAAAATCACGACGGGAGCTTTTTGCCAGTTTTCAGTTCCAGGGGCCCTCACGCCATGACCGTCTAAAAAACATATCTTGGACGAAAACGGGCCCCCAGGAAGTGCTCCAGAGCTTTCGGGACCCCGTTATCCCAAATCAAGGACGACATCGGATGTTTGGGGCGGCGTCTCGATGGCCAATCAAGTCGCGGACGGCTCTTGGGGCTGGTGCCCTCTGGAGGCCCCCCTGGAGGCCCCCCCGGGAGGCCCCCGTGGAGGCCCCCCGAGGCCCCAGAGGCCCCCCCGCAGAGGAGACGGGGCGAGGGGGAGTGATAGCCGGCGGCATGTTTTTGTTCCATCCGCGGCCCCAGCGTGATGTCGGGCGTGTCCCCCTACATGGGGATTTTCGACGAAACAATAAAAAATTCTCCCAAAATGCCTCAAAAAGGTCAGAAGAATAGTGCAGAAATAGTCCCCAGACTATTTTTGGATTATTTTGTGATCATTTTTTTGGATATTTTCTATTTTTCGTCGGAGGACCCCCTGCAGGGGGACGCGCCCGACATGACCCCAGCGGTCCCGACCGCTCTCCCGGTGCTATTTTTTCACGGCTCTGGCGCCCGATCGTGAGCCCGGGAGCCCGAAGCCGAGGGAACCGCCTGGACCGCAGGGACGACACCGTCGGAGATCGGGGTGGACTGGGAGAGGTCGCTGGAAGGAACTGCTCCGTGGTTGGCGCGATCGTGGCTGCGGCTGTCTGCCTGCGCGCTCAGAGGCTGTCCAAGCGGGACCAACCACCGTGTCGCAATCTACGTGGTGGTTTGCCGCTTATGCAGGCCGTCCACGCATGACCCCCACCCCACTTAACACCACCGTTTGGGCTCATGAAGAAGTGGTTCGGAGCTTCTGGGGGCATATTTCGAGTAGTGAGTAGGGGATTGACCACGTAAGTAATACATGTATGCCAGACTCGATTTGCCCGTCGGGTCTACGAACAATTTGTAGAAGGCTCCGTAGATTTACATTTTACTATGTTTCCCAACCATCCTGTCGTGTTGGGTTCTCGTTTTAAAGAGACAGCTCCCCGCGTCCCCTCACCTCCCACCCTCCCCTCCCTCCTCCCTCCCCCCCTCCTTCCTCATCAGTATGCGTCTCTCCCCCACCCAGTACAGCGTTTCGTGCTGCCATAGGGAGGAGCTCCACCGAAGACCCCAGTGGCTGCACTCGCATGCGGTTCCCCCACCCAGTACAGCGTTTCGTGCCCCCATAGGGAGCTCCACTTGCATGCGGTTTGTCCACCCGGTACAGCGTTTCGTGCCCTCATAGGGAGCTCCACCGAAGGCCCCAGTGGCTGCATTCGCATGCGTCTCCCCCACCAATGCCGCGTTTCGTGGCCCCATAAGGAGCTCCACCGAAGGCCCCAGTGGCTGCACTCGCATGCGGTTCCCCCACCCAGTACAGCGTTTCGTGCACCAATAGGGAGCTCCACCGAAGGCCCCAGTGGCTGCACTCGCATGCGGTTCCCCCACCCAGTACAGCGTTTCGTGCCCCCCTAGCGAGCTCCACTTGCATGCGGTTTGTCCACCCGGTACAGCGTTTCGTGCCCTCATAGGGAACTCCACCGAAGGCCCCAGTGGCTGCATTCGCATGCGTCTCCCCCACCAGTACCGCGTTTCGTGGCCCCATAGGGAGCTCCACCGAAGGCCCCAGTGGCTGCACTCGCATGCGGTTCCCCCACCCAGTACAGCGTCTCGTGCTGCCATAGGGAGCTCCACCGAAGGCCCCAGTGGCTGCACTCGCATGCGGTTCCCCCACCCAGTACAGCGTTTCGTGCCCCCATAGAGAGCTCCACTGAAGGCCTCAGTGGCTGTACTCGCATGCGTCTTCCCCGCCCAGTACAGCGTTTCGTGGCCCCATGGGGAGCTCCACCGAAGGCCCCAGTGGCTGGACTTGCATGCGTCTCCTCCGCCCAGCACAGCGTTCCGTGCCCCCAGAAGGAGCTCCACGGAAGGTCCCAGGAGCGGTGTTCGCATGCGTCTCCCGCACCATTGCAACGTTCCGTGGCCCCATAGGAAGCTCCACCGAAGGCCTCAGTGGCGGCCCCGCCCCATCGCGGCGCACCCCTCGCACGTTTCGCGGCCCCATAGTGGTTTCCACCGAAAGCCCCAGTGGCAGCGCCCACATGGCGGCCCCGCCCCATATCGGCACACCCTTCGCATGCTTGATGGCCCCGTGAGGAGATCCCCCGAAGGCGATACCCGCAACGACGTTGCGCACAACTGTATATGGTGGGGTTCCTCGCCGGGATGATTTTGTAGTTCCGACTGGAACATTACTTCTGGGTAAATCGATTCATTGGCTGACGCCGCACCGCCGACCCCTTTGGGCGGCAGTAAGAATGACAAATGGAGTTTGCGGAACGATTTCTGAGGAATCTTGGGGTTTCAGCTTCTTGGGATTTCGTCGGGGGCGTTTGGCGGATCGCCTCTCTGCTCTTGGGCTTCTCTGGCCTCTCCTGGCAGCGCTTTTGAGGCCTTTTGGGAGCTGTTTTGAGGCCTCTAGGAGCCTCTTTTGGGCCTCTCGGGGGCCTCGTGGGAGCCTCTTGGGGGCCGATTGGCGCCTCCTCAGGTTTTTTCGGGGCCGAGTGCTCGAAATGTTCATTCGGGTTCCCCCTCTGGGCCTCCTCTTGGGGCCGTCCTGGGGCCCTCCTGGGTCGTTTTGGAAGCTTCTGGGGCCCTCTTGGGGCCCTCTTGGGCCGTCTTGGAGCCCTCTTGGGGGCCTCTTGGGTTATCTTGGGTCGATCTTAAAGGCTTCTTGGGCCGTTGTGGGCCCCGTGAAAGCCCAAGAGGCGAATGTGCTAAAAATATACGCTTCCCCTCGGGAAGGGGACGATTTTTGCTTGGGGAGGGCCTCTGGGAACCCCTCTTGGTGGCTTCTTGGAACGTCTTGGGGGCCTCGGGGACCGTCTGGAGGCGATCTGGGGCGTCTTGGAGCGATCTTTCGGCGACTCATAGCCCTCTTGGACCGTCCAGGGGGCCTTTTGTGGCCCTTTTGGCCCGTTTTGGGGCCCCCTGAGGCTCCAAGGGTGCGGCTGACACCTTTGCCCCACGCTCCCCCCCCTTCCAAACTGGCCGGACCAGGCTCCCGGGGGAGGGGTTTGGGGAGGGGGAAGCATCTCACACGCCGTGGCGCCAAGGGGTCGGCGGATTCTGTAGTCGATCCCCTGCACGAGTATTTGCGGATCTAGGTTGCTCCTGCACGCTGGCTCGACCACCAGCGCCGCCCCAGCCACCACCACGGAGACCCGAGAGGCCGGAGGGGCCGCGGGAAGGCCCTGGGGCCGCGTGTCCTCGCGCGCCGCCCGGGGGTAGGAGGATCTCCTGGAGGCCTCGCGCGGCGCGAAGCGGAGTCAAGTCGAGCGGGAAGGATGAGCGGCCTTCCAAGGCTACCCGTGCATTCAAGCAGTGGCAAGCAATGTTCTAAGAACCTTTTCGAAAGGCTCTTAGAACATTCTGGCGGGGACCGCCTTGTTTTGACACATCGGGAATCTGTTCTAAGAACATTGTTTTTTGTTCTGAGAACATTTTGGGGTTCTCAGAACATGTCGTGTTAGGCCCATACGACGTGTATCCGACGTAGATCGGTTCTCAAGTTGCCGCGCGACGCCTCCAGGATTTCCACCATAACATCTGCCTCTCGCGGCCCTCGCCGTGGGAGCAGCGGCGCTCGGGACCGCACTCGGCCGCCACCCCGTGGCCCTCTCGTGCCACTTCTGCAGGGTCCATCTCGGCCCGGTCAATCCGACTCGACGTGGACTCTGGGACGACGCGATCCGATTCGATTTCGATTCCTTGTCGATCCGATGCGGCCGACGCTTGCGCCGATCCGATGCGATGTCGACCCCGTGCCGAAGCGGTCCGGTTCGACGCACAATCCGATTCGATCCGATTTGCTGATGCGGTGCTCGGCGCGCGAGGACGCGCGGGCCCTGGGGCCTTCCCATGGCCCCTCCCGCCTCTGGGGCGGCGTCGGTAGTCGAGCCAGCGTGCAGGAGCAGCCTGGATCCGCAAATACTCGAGTAGGGGATCGACTACAGAATCGATCCACCCCAGAACTAATGCTCCAGTCGAAACTACAGAATTATCCCGGCGAGGAACCCCACCATGTACAGTCGTGCATACCGTCGTTGCGTGTATCGCCTTCGGGGGATCTCCTCACGGGGGCCATCAAGCATGCGAAGGGTGTGCCGATATGGGGCGGGGCCGCCATGTGGGCGCTGCCACTGGGACTTTCGGTGGAACCCACTATGGGGCCGCGAGCCGTGCGAGGGGTGCGCCGCGATGGGGCGGGGCCGCCACTGGGGCCTTCGGTGGCGCTCCCCGTGGGGCCACGGAGCGCTGCAGTGGTGCGGGAGACGCGTGCGAGCACCGTCCTGTGGGGCCTCAGGTGGAGCTCCCCGCGGGGCCTGCAAAATTACCCCGCCGAGGGACCATCGGCTGGGATCGCCACTGCGCCCGCCCTGCCGCCTCTCACGGAGCGCGTTCCACTGCCCGCAGAGTGCCTGCTCGCCAACGCCCGAAAGACACGTGTCTTCCTAGATGTAGAATATCGCAGATCCCCCGCGGCGAATCCAGGCCATTTGTGAGTAGTGTAGTTTCAGGAGGAGAAAAAACACACAGATACAATTACTCGTCGAGTCCCAGGAAAATATGGGAAAATATGGGAAGTGGGGGGGAAGACGAACACCCCGAAAATATGGGAAACTATGGGGAATCTGTTTATGTGTGTGTATTTTTTTGTGTGTCCTGGGGCCCCTTCATAGTTATGTTGCGCGTAGTGGAGCGCGCTTGTCCAGCCTCTCGCGCCCTCCGGCGCCCTCCGCTCGGGGTGGCGGCCACGGCCTGCCGCTCGGCCGCCCCGCGGCCCGCCTCTCTGACCCCTCCCCTCGGTGCGGCGTGCGGCCCTCCGCGGCGCCCCCGCGCGGGGGGGGCGCCCTCCCCGAGATCCCGGCGTCGCGCTTTTGGCCCCGACCATCCTGCGGTGTTGGGTCCTCGTTTGGAAGAGACAGCGCCCCGCGCTGCTCTCCTATTCCACCTCTGCCTCCTCCGTCTCCTCTTCCTCCTCCTCCTCCTCCTCCTCCTCCTCCTCCCCCTCCTCCTCCTCCTTTCCCCCCCTTCCCCGTGTCCCTCCTCCCTCTTCTTCTTCTTCTTCTGCTTCTTCTTCTTCTTCTTATATTCTTCTTCTTTCTCATCATCATCATCATCATCATCATCATCATCATCATCATCATCATCATCATCATCATCATTATCGTCGTCGTCGTCGTCATCATCATCATCATCATCGTTATCATCATCATCAACACCATCACCATCGCCATCACCACCACCACCACCACCATCATCATCATCATCATCATCATCATCATCATCATCATCATTATCATCATCATCATCATCATCATCATCATCACCATCATCGTCCACCTCAGCATCAACATCATCTTTAGCAGCAGCACCATCATCATCATCATCACCATCATCATCATCATTCTCGTCATCATGATCGTCATCATCATCATCATCATCATCATCATCATCATTCTCGTCATCATCATCGTCATCATCACTAGCATCATCAACCCCATCGTCATTATCAGCATCATCATGATCATCATCATCAGCATCATCAGCATCATCATCATCAGCATCAGCAGCATCATCATCATCATCATCATCATCATCATCATCATCATCATCATCATCATCATCATCATCATCATCATCATCATCGCCAGCATCATCGCCATCCTCGTCATCCTCGTCATCATTGCCATCATCGTCATCATCATCGCCGTCATCGTCACCACCGTCGCTACTCATGTCGGCATACCCTCACACGTTTCGTGGTCCTACAGGGAGCTCCACCGAAGGCCCCAGTGGCGGTATTCGCATGCGTCTCCCCCCACCCAGTACAGCGTTTCGAGGCCCCATAGGGAGCTCCACCGAAAACCCCAGTGGCGGTGTTCGCATGCGTCTCCCCCACCCATTACAGCGTTTCGTGGCCCCATAGGGAGCTCCACCGAAGGCCTCAGTGGCGGTGTTCGCATGCGTCTCCCCCACGCAGTACAACGTTTCGTGGCCCCATAGTGAGCTCCACCGAAGGCCCCAGTTGCGGTGTTCGCATGCGTCTCCCCCACGCAGTACAACGTTTCGTGGCCCCATAGGGAGCTCCACCGAAGGCCCCAGTGGCAGTGTTCGCATGCGTCTCCCCCACTCAGTGTAGCGTGTAACGTTTCGTGGCCCCATAGGGAGCTCCACCGAAGGCCCCAGTGGCGGCCCCGCCCTATTGCGGCGCACACCTCACACGCTTCGTGGCCCCATAGTGGGTTCCACCGAAATCCCAAGTGGCAGCGCCCACATGGCAGCCTCGTCCCATATCGGCACACCCTTCGCATGCTTGATGGCCCCGTGAGGAGATCCCCCGAAGGCGATATCCGCAACGACGGTAGTCATGACTGCATATGGCTGGGTCCTTCGCCAGGATTATGTTGAGCCGGATGATTTTGCGTGGTTGTGGTTTCGGGCCCCAGGACCATCACAGCAGGAGGAGGAGGAGGAGGAGGAGGAGGAGGAGGAGGAGGAAGACAGGAGGAGGAGGAGGAGGAGGAGGAAGAGAAGGATGTGGAGGTGGAGGAAGAGGAAGAGGAGGAGGAGGACGAGGAGGTTTTGGGTTCCAGTCGTGATGCTTCGCGGCGCCGCGTTTTTTCCAACGTCGGGTCACTGCGCCCTGGCGCATCGCTTTTGCCCCTCCGTGGCCCCCCTCGCTCTGGCTGATTTGGATCGAGAGCGAGGAGGCAAGAAGGATGGTGATGTTGATGATGGTGCTGTTGCTGATGACGATGCTGATGACGATGACGATGCTGCTGCTGTTGATGCTGATGATGATGCTGTCGACGACGATGATGATGCTGATGACGATGATGATGCTGCTGATGATGATGATGATTCTGATGATGCTGCGGCTGCTGATGCTGATGACGACGGTGATGATGATGCTGCTGATGCTGATGATGCTGCTGATGCTGATGCTGATGCTGATGCTGATGCTGATGCTGATGCTGATGATGCTGATGATGCTGCTGCTGCTGATGATGCTGATGATGATGATGATGATGATGATGATGATGATGATGCTGAACATGATGATGACTATCTCCTGGAGACGGGGGATGGGTTTGTCTAGGTAGAACTCTGCGTCGGCCGCAGGCGATACAGGCGGCAGCGCTTGGCGCAGCGCGTCGGCTCGCCAGCCCAGTTGCAGCTTCAGCGGCCAGTGCCACTCCTCTGAGTCCTGCTCTCTTGCTGCCCCTCTCACCCTCGAAGTTCTGCTCAGCCTGGAGGAAGGGTCACGAGAAGGAATCATTGCGGTGCTGACGAGTCGAATTGTGGTGCTAGTGGCGACGCTGACAGTTGCCGACGACAGTGTAGAGGAGCAGGAGGGGGAAGCATGACGAGGAACAGGGTGAGCAGAGCGAAGATGGGGGGGAGACGAGGATGAGGATGATAAGGCTGAGGACTAGGAGAGCAGGATAGCACTGGGCACTTGCTTCGCGCGCTTACCATGGGAGCGACAGATCTGTGTTGCCCAGAGCTGCTGGGAACATAGTGTGGCCAGTTATCATGGGCCAGTTCCCAGAAGTGGCAATTGGCACTGAGGGCGTGGTTGGCAGCACCCTGCGTGGCTGAAATGAGCAGCGACAGAGTGGGGCCTCATGTCGCTCTCGGCCAAGCGCCTTGGGACCCTCTTGGATCCATCTTGGGGCTCCCTCGGGACCCTCTCAGGAGCCCTGGAGGGACTTGTAGGGCCATATTGGAGGCCATCGATCAAAGGAGGGGGGGGGTCCTGCAACTTTCCCCCCTCGGGTTCACTCAATTCGCCCTTGGGTGGCCTCTTGGGGCGCTCTTTGGGCGATCTTGAGCCTCTTGGGCACCTTTTGAGGCTCTCTCGGGCCATCTTGGGGCCATCTTGAGGTCTCAAGACCGCATCGGCCATTCTAAGGCCATCCCGAGCCATGCTGCGACCATCCTGGGCCATCCTGACGCCATCCTGGGGCCATCCTAAGGCCTCAAGGCGAGAAGGCAAAAATCATTGATTTTCCTTGGGTGTTTGAAAGGACTGGCCTTTTGTGGGGGTCTTGGGGGGCTCCGAGAGCACTTGGGACCGTCTTGGAGCGGATTTTTGGGCCTCCTTAGACCATGTTGGAAACTATCTTCAGTCGTCTTCGGCTGTCTTGAGCCATCAAGGAGGCCATCTTGGAATATCGGAGGCCCTCTTGGAGCCAGCTTGGGCGAAGAAAGACTCTTTGACATCTCGCGGACTCCCCCCCCCAAAAAGCCACAAGGAGGGGTTGGGGAGGGTACTTACCACTCCCCGAAGGGAAGAGGGTTTTGGAAGAGGAAAGACAGAACTCGTTAGACCGCCTACGCCCAGAAGACCTGTGGGATTGCTTATTCCAACCCCTTGCCCTGCTTGTGGCAAGCGTTGAAGTTCGAGATGTTGGGCCCGAGATTTTTCCGGCCCTGCCTCTCCGGGAACGCTTGCCCAGTATTACGACGGCTGGGGGACGGGAGACGGGGGAGGAGGAGGAGGAGGAGGAGGAGGAGGAGGAGGGGAGGAGGAGGAGGGAGGGAGGGGGGGAGGAGGAGGGGGAGGGGGAGGAGGGGGGAGGGGAGGAGGAGGAGGGGGGGGGGAGGGGGAGGAGGGGGGAGGGGGGAGGGGGAGGGGGAGGGGGGGAGGACAAGCTAGGTGCGCTCGCGTCATATCTGACATCCTACCCCTCCCTCCCATCCCTTACCATGGCGCAGATCCCCTCTCTACTCGCACAGTCGGATGTCAAGCAGGGCGATGATCCCGAAAGGGTACGCGATGCATTGTAGAGCACGGCATGGCATGGCGTAGAAGAGCACCGCGAAGCGTAGTATCAACCTAGCATTGCATTGCATGCCGTGGCATGGCACGGGAAATGACGCCAGCGCTGCAGCGGGAGCACGAGTCGAAACGAGCGGAAGCGCGGAAATGAGGCCAGCGCTGCAGCGGGAGCACGATTCGGAACGAGTGGAAGCACGGAAATGAGGCCAGCGCTGCAGCGAGAGCACGATTCGGAACGAGCGGGGCCCGAAAATGAGGCCGGCGCCTCAGCGAGAGCAGCATTTTGGGAAAAACTGCAGGCGAATACCTAACTCCGGGGAAGGCAGAAATTCAGCATTTTCAAAAGGAAAACTTGTATTGGAATGGCCTTTTTTCGGCGCCGCCTCGGAACTCGATTTTCCGGCGCCGGCTGGAACCGGCTCCGGACCCGGCCCGGGCGCCGGCCCGGGCGCCGGCTCGGGCGTTCAGCCCGGGCGCTGGCTCGGGCGCCGGCCTGGGCGTCGGAATCGGCCCGGGAAGCTTCCCAGGCGCTGGAAGCAGAAATTCAGCATTTTCAAAAGAAAAATGTGTATTAGAATGGCCTTTTTTCGGCGCCGCCTCGGAACTCGATTTTCTGGCGCCGGCCGGAACCGGCTCCGGACCCCCCCCGAGCGCTGGCCCGGGCGCCGGCTCGGGCGTGCAGCCCGGGCGCCGGCGGAAATGATGCCAGCGCTGCAGCGGGAGCACGATTCGGAACGAGCGGGGCCCGAAAATGAGGCCGGCGCCTCAGCGACAGCAGCATTTTGGAAAAAATGCAGGCGAAAACCCAACTCCTGGGAAACCCGTGTGTAAAAAAACAGTACGCGGGGGGGGGCGAATATTCCCAAGACGTCATCAGGGGAAGAGGGAGAGTAGTATTCATATTGAGTAATTGTGGAGGAGGAGGAGGGGGAGGGGGAGGAGGACAAGTTAGGTGCGCTCGCGTCAACATCTGACATCGTACCCCTCCCTCCCATCCCTTACCATGGCGCTGATTTTCTCTATCCGCGGACGCGTGTCGTAGCGGACCTGTGGCTCCGCGCGCGTGTGCGTAGTGGGTGGTGGTGCGCGTGCGTGCGTGCGTGTGTGCGTGGTTGTGGTTGTTGTGGTGGTGGTGGTGGTGTGTGTATGTATGTGTGTGTGTGTGTGTGTGTGTGTGTGTGTGTGTGTGTGTGTGTGTGTGTGTGCGTGTGTGCGCGTGTGCTGTGGTGTGACGTGGTGTGGCGTCTTGGTGGTTTGGTGGTGGGCCAGGTGCGTACGTGCGTGATGGCGGTGGTGGTGGTGGTGGCGGTGTGTGTGTGTGTGTGTGTGTGTGTGTGTGTGTGTGTGTGTGTGTGTGTGTGTGTGTGTGTGCGTGTGTGTGTGTGTGTGCGTGTGTGTGTGTGTGTGTGTGTGTGTGTGTGTGTGTGTGTGTGTGTGTGTGTGCGTGCGTGCGTGCGTGCGTGCGTGCGTGCGTGCGTGCGTGCGTGCGTGCGTGCGTGCGTGCGTGCGTGCGCGTGTGTGCGTGCGTGCGTGTGTGTCTGTGTGTGCGCGCGTGTGTGTCTGTGTATGCGCGCGTGTGATGTGGTGTGACGCGGTGTAGCGTGGTGGTTGTGGGTGGGGTAGTGGGTAGTGCGGTGGTGGTGGCGGTGCGCGGTGGTGGTGCGCGTGCGTGCGTGCGTGCGTTGGTGGGTGGAAGTGGCGGTGGGTGTGCGTGCGGCGGGGCGGGGCGTGGTGCGGCGCGGTGGTGGCGGGCGGATGGGCGCGCGAGAAAGAGGCCCGCGCTGGGGCGAGAACGCCATCCTGAACGACGGAGGCCAAACACCGATCCGAAAATGAGGCCCACGCTGCAGCGGGAGCACGATTCGGAACGTTTCGGGAGCAGAAATGAGGCCGGCGCCTCAGCGAGAGCAGCATTTTGAAAAAAACGCAGGCGAAAACCCAACTCCGGGGAATCGTGTGTGTAAAAAAATATCCCGGCAAAGCAACCTAACAGCGATGTGTAGAAACATATCTGGAAACATTCTCCTTAAGATTCAGATCGGAATCCAGTTGTAGAATTCTGCTGTTCTCACAGTCGCAGTCGCATTCGCGATGACAGTCGCAGTGGCAACGGCATTCGCAATCACAGCCTCAGCCTCAGCCTGCCTGAGTATCAGCCTGCCTCACTCAGCCTCAGCCTGCCTCAGCCTGCCTCAGCCTGCCTCAGCCTCAACCTCAGCCTGCTTCAGCCTCAGCCTCAGTCTGCCTTCAGCCTCAACCTCAGCCTCAGCCTCAGCCTGCCTCAGCCTCAGCCTGCATCAGCCTCTGCGTCTTCCTCATCCTGCCTCAGCGTCTGCCTCAGCGTCTGCCTCAGCCTCAGCCTCAGCCTCAGCCTCAGCCTCAGCCTCAGCCTCAGGCTGCCTCAGCATCAGCCTGCCTCAGCCTCAGCCTCAGCCTCAGCCTCAGCCTCAGCCTCAGCCTCAGCCTCAGCCTCAGCCTCAGCCTCAGCCTCAGCCTCAGCCTCAGCCTGCCTTCAGCGTCAGCCTCAGCCTCAGCCTCAGCGTCAGCCTCAGCCTCAGCCTGCATCAGCCTCAGCCTCAGCCTCAGCCTCAGCCTGCCTCAGCGTCTGCCTCAGCCTCAGTCTGCCTTCAGCCTCGGCCTCAGCTTCAGCCTGCCTCAGCCATAGCCTGCCTCAGCCTCTGCCTCAGCCTCAGCCTCAGCCTGTCTCAGCCTCAGCGTCAGCCTCAGCCTCAATGCCTCAGCCTCTGGGCATTCAAAATGTGGCCCGGGAAAAAAGTTCTGGGAAGTCGAAGAGCACGAAGTGGCATACAGTTGGCTCCGGGCATTCATAATGTGGGCCGGGAATGGAGTTCTGGGAGCTCGAAGACCACGAAGTGGCCTACAGTTGGCTTCGGGCATCCAAAATGTACGCCGGGAATGGAGTTCTGGGAACTCGAAGACCACGAAGTGGCTTACAGTTGGCTCCGGGCATCCAAAATGTAGGCCGGGAATGGAGTTCTAGCAGCGCCAAAAGCGATTTTGCGAGGATGTCCCAAGCGATTTGGGCTTCGACGGCAGCCGCCCCGGGTCCCGCCCGGACCCCCCTGTGGAGTCATTTGCTGTTCTCTTTAAAGGCTACTAGAAACCTATCAGTTTTCGCTGTTAGGTAACAATACGCGGGGGGGGGCGAATACACAAAAGACGTCATCATGGTAAGAGGGAGGGTAGTATACATATTGGAGTAATTGTGGAGGGGGAGGGGAGGGGGGGGAAGGGGGAGGGGCAGGAGGAGGATGAGGAGGAGGAGGAAGGAGATGAGGAGGATAGGCAGGAGGATGAGGAGGAGGAGTGAGGGAGGAGAAGAGAGAGGAGGGAGGAGGAGGAGGAGGATGATAGGAGGAGGAGGGGAGGAGTAGGAGGA